GGAGGGGAAGAGATCCCCAGGGAGTTTCCCTCTGTGGGTTGGAAAAGCCAAACTCCCTGAATTGCCCAAAATTTCAAGTATTTTTAAGACCCCAGTGCAATGGGCTGTCAAAACCCAACTCAGTCTCTCTGTGAAACCGCTGCCTTTTGGCAGAACTTTGTTTACAGCAGAATTTCCCACAAAAATTTCTTTTTTAACCTCAATTTTTTTTTTCCCCCACCAAAACTCCACACTTCTGCTGGGAAGTCCTAGGCAAATCCTCATTTTGTGGGCCAAATCCCTGGCATGGTGACCTTTTCCACTGACTTTTCCCATGCCTGCCCCACCCAGCCCTGGAAGCCGCTTTTCCCCCCATTGCCAATAAAGGCAAACAAAAATTAAATCTATAATTATCATTACTAATTCCACTTAATTAGTCACAAGCCAGCAGCCAAATTGGCTTTCTCATAATTATCAGATAAGCAGTAAGCACATCTCATAGATTATAATTAACACTGCTTAATTAAAATCTAATATACATACACCCTTTCCTCAACATATGCCTAATTGGGTTCACAAACAGAGGGGGTGTGAAACCCCCATCCCTGTTGCTCCCCCAAAGGTTTGTTCGATGCCACTTTGGTGGCACGTGGGATGTTCTTTGCTCTCAAACACCTTGGCTCCAAAAAAAAAGTGTCTCCCTGCTGCACTGTGAACTCAGACAAGATACTCTGCCGACTTAACTATTTTTTATTATTATTGTTATTGCTCCAGCTGTGACCTCTCCATAATCCCCCGTCGACAGCGGGTTCTGCAATAATAAAGCAGCTTGAATAAATTACGCTTTCAAAGGCGAAGGCCGGATTTTGGCTCTGAGCTCTGAAAATTGATGTCTCTCTTATTCCCTTCTTATTTTCCGGAGCTGGGTCGGGGAGAGGCTCCGAGGCTGCAGCGAGGCTTGGAGGGAAACTCTCACACTTGTTTGCACCCTCCCTGGTCATTGCTATCCCTGCCTGAAACACTCTGGGTGTCACAGCAGGGATGGCAGCTGCCTGCAAGGAGGACCTTGGTCCCCTCCAGGGCTTGGTTGAAGGGTTGATGCTCACAGGTGAGAGTCCACACACGATGGTTTATGTGCTGGGGGAGCTTTTAGCTCCTCTTTCCATCTATTTGGGGGAAAGGCTGCAGTTGCCTGAGGATGGGGAATCAGGGTCTGAGCCAGCTCAGGCATCACCAAAGCTTTGGTGTCCCCTTGCAGGTGGCCTGAGGAGGTGACCTGTGAGCAGGGCATCGACTCCCAGCATGGCCACTGCCCCTGTCTGACCTTGGGGCAATAATTACATCGTGTTCCAGGTAGCTGTGCTCCCGCTCCCAGATAAATTCTCTCCTGTTTGGCTGCCAGAGAGAAGCAGAAACTCCTGATAGTGCTGATTATTAATGAGATCATTTGCCTGCCAGTTTTTGCTGAGCTCATATCTGACTGGGGAGTTGATTCACTGTGGGAGATTTACGAAATGTGATTTCTGTCTCAGAGATGCTGAGCTGAGCTCCTTGTAGCGGGCATGGAGGGGGCTCCTTCTCCTGGATTTAGTCCCGGTGAGGGCTCCTGGCTGCAATGCTGGGGCTGGAGATCCTTCCTCTAGCCAGGGCAAGGATGAGTGCTGGTCCTTGGGGATGTGGGGCTTCCATGGCTGGAGCATCACAGCTGTGGGTGATGCCAGGGCATCCCAGTGCTCTGTGATGTCAGCTCGCCTCCCAAGGCCTTTAATGCGGCGGCTGCAGAAAGGAAAGGCTTGGCACGTGCTCCGGTGTCGGGGGAGGATTTGCGGATTAGAGATGTGTAATTGTATGTAGTGCATGACAAAACAAAATAAGTGGCAAAAAGAACTCGCTTGTATTAAGGATTCAAAGCGAGCGTTAAGCTTTTCTACATTAAGGAGAAAAAAAAAACAGCCGGGGAAATGCGGGAGGCAAAATCCCCTTCGCTCCGCGCTCCCGCTCCACGGTGGAGGTGCAGCCTGGATGCAGGAGCTGTGGGATGAGGGATGCTCTCCATCCATGGGAGAGAGGGGCCAACCACTTCTGAAAACTTTCCCCTCCCAGCTGCCAGCCTTGGATGGATTTGCTGGCCGGGGATAGATGCGCATTTGGAAAATGAAGGCGAAACACGGCTGGAGTTGCCTGGCTGGTTTTCCTGGCGATGCCGGCGTGTGTTGGAAGAGCCAGGTGCCTCGAGCTGGTGGCGTGGTCCGAGGCTGGCTGCAGGAGGGGCTCAGCTGAGCCCCCACTCCACTGCAGCTGAGCATCTCGGCAACTGGTTGCTTCCAAGGTCTCCGCTCGCCCGGGCGAGGCAGTTGTACGCTTTTGTCCGTGGGGATTTCTCGCCATCGTAAGATCTTCCCAGATTAAGTAAATAATTTCACATTAGCTTAATTAAGCCTAATAGACTCATTAGTTCACTCTTTGCGCGCGTTCCCAAGGGATGGTGGCCGTGAACTGTGAAGAGTCGCTGTGGAGAGATCCCGTGGCATCCCGGAGGCAGGTGCCGGCAGTGGGGAGCGCTGCTCCTGCGGGAAGGGTTGGGTCTGTGAGGTTTAGGAGGTAATGTATATGTTCATGGTGGCTTGAATCACAGGCAGGTCTTTCCTGCCCAAAATGCTGCTGGACTTTGGGCTGGCTGGTGGCTCAAGGGTGGCCGTGCGGGTGGTTGCAGTGTCCCAAGCAGGGGCATGGTCCAGACCATCCCCTGGTGCCACAACAGCCTCCATGTCCTTGGAGGTACCTTGACCTGCTTGGAACAGGGCAGCACCATCAGACCAGTTTGGCAGTGCCACAAGGTCACGCTTTGGAATGAGTTTTTTGATGCTTTTGCAGCACTTTTCTTACTTCTGCCCACTACCAAGAGCTTTCTAAGCCCACCACGCTCGGAAGTGTGGAGGAGAGCAAGGGGTCCTGATCCAGTGGCAGGGTTTGGATGGTCCCTTTGGCTGCTGCACGGGATGGCAGGTTGTGGCAGGAGTGGCTCCTGGATTTGCTCAAAACCTCAGATGTGGGGCACTGAGTGACCAGTGGGGGACATGGAGTGGCTGGGGGGGGGACAGATGTTGAGCAGAGAAGCAGATGTGTGGGGGAAAAGGCTGTGGCTGCCCTGGAAGGAGGGTGATGGGGAAGGGAAAGAGCTGATGGAAGCTAAAATATGTGTGGATGCAGGTGCTTGCTGGACTGGGAGTGTATCTGTTTGTAGAAAGGGAAGATTTTGTCTTTTCTGTTACCTGCTGGTGTGTGGTACTGAATCACACTGTGCTGTACAGGGC